CTACCACTACTGCACTACTACTACTACTACTACTACTACTACTACTACTACTACTAACTACTACTACTACTACTACTACTACAACTACTACTACTACTACTACTACTACTACTACTACTACTACTACTACTACTACTACTACTACTACTACTACTACTACTACTACTACTACTACTACTACTACTACTACTACTACTACTACTACTACTACTACTACTACTACTACTACTACTACTACTACTACTACTACTACTACTACTACTACTACTGCTACTACTACTACTACTACTACTACTACTACTACTACTACTACTACTACTACTACTACTACTAGTAATACTACTACTACTACTACTACTACTACTTCTACTACTACTACTACTACTACTACTTCCAGCACCTTCTTTGCCCCCCTAGGCTGCGCACGTGCCTCGGGCCAGGACTTGCGACCCCCCTTCTTGGACTTCCCCCTGTTGGATGCCCCGAGAGGGGATCGGGAATAATTGGGGCACGAATGCTGGTGCGTGCTGCTGGTGGGACTCTTTCCTCAGCGCACTGGCGCTTCCGCCGCGGGGCGGCGCCAGGAAGGACAGCCTTACGTGAGCTGCGGAACCCCGCGTCCTTTCTGGACGCCCCCTTCTCGCCACGAAGGGAACGGGTCCCGAGGGAAACGGGTCCAGTGGTTTTTCGTCGTTTTCGGCTTCCTGGTGCCCTCAATGGGCCCCGGGACTGTCGGAAAACGACTCAGGATGAAGACCTCGTCCTGGGGGAAGGTCCCAGGGTCCAGTGCAGAGGACTGGTCCCACAGTGTGTAAGACGTTCGGCTGCCGTCGAAATTCTGGGGAGCTCTTCGCCCCCAGGTCGAGTTTAGGGACCCCTGCTGCCAGGTCTTCGTTTCAAGCAAATCGGCAACTCGCAGAGGGGGGTGGGGGCAGGGGGGAAGGCCTCTTAGAAGCACCCCTGCTCCCTAGAAGGCGCGGGCCTTGTCTGCATACAGTCAACGCGCATAGTAAGGACAAACTACTACTTTTTCAAGGGTACCCTTGGGTCCTTGCCTGCCTCAGCCTCTGCGGCCCGTCCCTAGCAATTTTCGCAGGCCAGTTTCTCAGGTTCCCTGGGGGTTTGGCCGCCTGCCGCCCAGAATAATTCAACTTCGGCCTCCAAGGGTCTTGCGTCCTTGCCACGCGTCCTTCCTCTACGTTTCCACGGTGTGTGGGGCCAGCGCCTCCTAAGAAGCCTTCCCCCCTCCCCCTGCCCCCCCCTGCGCGCCGCTACAAAAAAAGCCCTCCTCTCTCTGGACGCCCCCCCTCCGTCCGAACCCGAGCCAGGGCGGCGTCCGAGGCCGCCGCGCGTGGCCTGCGCGGGGCGCCCGCGGCGCAGCTGCTGGGGGCGCTCCGCCGGCGCGCCGCGGGCGCCGCGGGCCTGCCGGCCTGGAGCTCCGCGCTCACGACCTGCAGGGAGAGCGGGGGCAACGTCGGGGCGGGGGTCCACCACCACTGCCAGAGGTAGGAGGGAGGAGGAGGAGGAGGAGGAGGAGGAGGAGGAGGAGGAGGAGGAGGAGGACACCCATCCTCCCTCTCCCTTCCTACCTATGTATGGTAATGGTGTTGGAAAATCGGCAACAAGAGCAGGGGCAACGTCAGGGGGGGGGGGTCCTGGGGCGAAGGGGCTCAGAGGGTTTTGAGGTTCCAGGTTTTGGGGCGCCATTATCTCAGCGGCGTGCTCCAGAAATGTCTGGGCTGCGTGTGTCCGATCATCCAGGCCGGCTGGTGGCTGGAAGGGGCAGCCGCCCCTGGGTACCCGGTGTGTTAGGTAGTTGGCAGTCCCCTCTCCGCCCCCCTCCTAGGATCCTGCCGTCCTCTTGGCACCGGCCGTCCGCATTCTAGGGATTGGTGCCGATCGCAGGTTGAGGCAATGACTTCGCATGCTCCATGCGGGTTGCCAGAGCCGGTCCAGTCATGTGAACCTGTCTGCCCTCCTTGCCGGCCCCGGGGGCAGCTTCAGTCGCGCGCCGTCGGCGCCAGAGGCCCTGCTCTCTGCGGCCTCGTGCCTAGGTGTAGCTCAAGCTTCGCGCAGTTCATTGCGCTTCGTGCGAACGCTGATGTTGTATAAGCCGTGAGCGGTCTCTGTGATGGTGCTTTTCTCCCCCCCTCTTCCCCGTTCGCTCACCTTGTGCTCGCGTGGGTTTGGTGCGGGTGCCTTTGAACATAGTCGGCCTACGCACGCGCGAGTTGTTAATTGCATCTGTGTGCCTCTCCCCACCTCTGGATTGGAGTCATAGTGGACCTTTGGCTGGCGGAGTGGAGCTGTGAGCAGCATGCTTTAGTCGTTATTTCTATGTTCGCTCAGTGCCACAACTGTTCTTATTTCCGCCCTCGACTTCTCTCCCCTCCTCCGCCTCCGTTTCCTCTCCTTCCTACTCCTGCCCATCCTCCCGCTTTGACGGGTCTTGTTCGCGCGGAGTTGTGCTTCAGGAGCATGGCCGGACATTGGAGATGTCTCAATTTTGGTCAGGCTGCTTTCTTGGGATGCCCTGGTGCTAATTTTGACGGCACGCGGGCTCCTTGGTTTGCCCGCATCGTTCCCTCTGCTTTCCACCTCCTTCTCCCAGGGTTGCGTGGACAAAACATGCCCGTCGTTTCCCAGCCTCGGAAGGCTCTCTCCAGCAACTGCGCCTGACCGCGAGCGCTCGGGGACGTGCCCGGGTCCTCCCGAGCTGCGCCAGCGAGCCGGGCTGTGACGCGACAGCCTTGGGCGCCGACGGGGGTCGGGCTGGGCGAAAGGGGGGGATTGGGAAAGGGGGGGTTACGAAATTTGCTGCGTGCAGCTGGTTTCGGCCTCACCGAGGGGCCCGTTCCTCGATGCATGGCCGCCTCCGGCGCCGGGAGGCGCCGGGAGAGTCGGCCACGTGAGCCGATTCTCAAACCCCCCCCCCTTGGCTATCCCCCCCTTTCGCCCGACCCGAGGGGGGGGAGGAGGAGGAGGAGGAGGAGGAGGAGGAGGAGGAGGAGGAGGAGGAGGAGGAGGAGGAGGAGGAGGAGGAGGAGGAGGAGGAGAGGAGGAGGAGGAGGAGGAGGAGGAGGAGGAGAGGAGGAGGAGGGAGGAGGAGAGGAGGAGGAGGAGGAGGAGGAGAGGGCGCATAGCTTCCCTCCATTGCGCCCGCTGTGATCGCCGACATGGGGGGGGCACAGCAGCCCACCCCGCCCGGGAGCGTGAGCGTTGGTCGCCAGCGGGGGGGCCTGCGGCCGATCTGGTCCAGGAGGGGCAAGCACACAGGCACAATGAATCGTCGCCTCCCAGGACAAAATATGGGAAACTATGGGAAGTGGGGGGGGGAAGACAAAAGCCAAGAACATATGGGGAACTATATGGGGAATCCTGTTATTTGTGTGTGTGGGTATGTATGTGTGGGTATGTGTGTGTGTGTGTGTCGTGTGTGTGTGTGTGTGTGTCGTGTGTGTGTGTGTGTGCGGGTATGTATGTGTGTGTGTGTGTGTGTGTGTGTGTCAGGGCCCCTTCGCCTGCGGCCGATCTACTGGCGACGTCTCGCCAATCCCAGCTAGACGCTCCCCCCTCTCCGTGAGCCGGGCCTCCCAGGAAAATATGGGAAAATATGGGAAAACATGGGGAGTGGGGGGGAAGAGACGAAACCCCAGAAAATATGGGGAAATATACGGGGAATCCTGTTCTTTGTGTCTATGTATTTGTGTGTCCCGGGGCCCCTTCACCTGCGGCCGATCTACTGGCGACGTCTCGCCGATGCCAGCTCGACGCTCCCCCCTCCCCGTGAGCCGGGCCTCCCCGCTTCTGCCCCCGCAGGAGAGCGTGCACTGGGAGCACGCGCTGTGCCTGCTGCAGGACATGGTCGCGAAGGCCGAAGGAGGCAAATCTCAGGAGGTGAAAACCACACGCAGACACAATCACAATCGTCGATTCCCCAGAAAATAGGGGAAGATATGGGAAGCGGGGGGGAAGACAGCAACCCAGAAGATGTGGGACAATGTGGGGAACCCTGTCACTTGTGTCTATTTCTTTGTGTGTCCCAGGGCCCCTTCAAAATCAGCACAAGAACAACGTTTTGGAGGTCCGCGCGGGCTCTTGGGTCGGCGCTGGGCCCCGCAAGGCAGGCGGCGCCTCGGGTGCCGCCCCCGGCGCGCTCCGCGCGCCAGGGGGGAGGGGTTCAGCGCCGACGCCGGGAAGCCGCGCGGACCTCCGCAAGCTCAGGCCAATGCCGCCCCTGGCTCCCCTGGCAGGGCCCCGAGCCAGACGTCATCTCGTACAGTGTCGCCATCTCGGCGTGCGCGGGCGCTCAGCACTGGGAGCACGCCGTGCTGCTGCTCGCCGACGCAAGGCGGCGTGGCGTGGAGACGGACGTGATCGTCTTCGGCGCCGCGGTCAGCGCCTGCGAGCGCGGCGGCGAGTGGGCGTCGGCAGTGGCGCTGCTCGCGGACATGAGGGCTGACACCCTCGAGCCCAACCTGGTGACCTACAGCGCGGCCGTGAGCGCCTGCGAGAAGGGGCAGCAGTGGCGCCGCGCTCTGCTGCTCCTGTCCCGGGTCCTCCAGGAGTGACGAGCCAACAACACACACCCACACCCATAGGGGGATCGGAGAGGGCTATGGGTGCGTGTTGTCGGATGGGGGTCCCCGCTCGAACGGGAGCGTTCCCCAGGGTCCGACAACCCGCACCCATACCTATAGCCAGTCCTCCTCCAAACGACCCCCCTATGGGTATGGATGCGCGTTGTCCGTTCGTCAAGGAGGGCCTCACGCCGGACGTGGTAGTGTGCAACGCGGCGCTGAGCGCGTGCGAGAAGGGCGAGCGCTGGGACCAGGCGCTGCTCCTGCTGGGGGAGGTGGCGAGGCTGCGCATCGAGCCCAGCGTGATAACGTACACCGCCGCCATCAACGCGTGCCAGAAGGTCGGGGGGTTCGCAGAGGGGGGGGACGAGCCCCCGGCGGGTTTGGGGAACGAGCCCAGCTAGAGGCTCGCACTTTTCCTTCTGCCAGGAGCCGTCCAGGGCGATTCTCCTGTGGCCCGCCCTGCAGGAGCCACGTCGAAGAAGAAGCTGGCCTGCCAGCAGGGTGCCCCTCTCGGAGGTTTCCAGGCCGCTGCTGACTGCTGCATCCAGCGGCACCCCGCTGAGGGGTAGTTCCGTATGCCGCTGGCAACCCGGACGAGTGGCACTCTCTGATGGATGATTTTTGCAAGAGCTGAGGGTCATGGCCCCACGCGCCCCGCCCCGAGTGTGCCCGGTCCTCTGGACCGCAAGGCGTCTCGTTCGCTCGCTCGCTCGGAGGGTTCTGATCCCCGATGGCCCTGGGAGCCCGCAGAAGCCCTGGGGCACTCCAGGAAGCTCAGAGCTCCATGGCGGGACGGAAGCTTAGACCGCGAGTTCTCATCGCACGTGTCTGCAGTCAACCCGCACAGTAGGTAAGGATGGGCAGTTTCCTAAGGAGACCCTTGCAGCCTTGCCTCCTCGGTCCATCCTTGGCCACTTTCGCTGGCCGCGCCCCGCCCGAGAAGCTTCCCAATGGCCTGTAACCCGTCCTCCGGTCCTGCCCCACATGTTACGACCCCCCGAGAAGGGCCAGCAGTGGCAGCGGGCACTGTGCGTCTTCGAGGAGCTCCCGCGGGCGGCGGTGCGGCCTGACGCGGTGGCCTTCGCCGCTTGCATCGGCGGGCGGGCAGCGGGGAACGGTCCTCGTGGAACTTCGGGTGAGAATCCCTAGGCAAGTCTCGAGCCAGATCCCCTTTTTGAAATATCACTGTCTTCCGTCCTTGTAAACGCTCCTGGTCATCAATTTGGTGGAGGTTTCAAGCTGTAGAACAATCCTCCATCTTTGTAGATGCTTGAAGCTTTTATGGCGATTCTGCGCCGCGCTAGGGCGAGAGCCGCATTTTGAAATGGACTCGCCCTCACTCGTTGTAAACGTTTGAAGCTTCGAAGACGTATGTGCGCGGGACTACGTAGATATCCACATGTTGGAGCCGATTCGCCCACCATCCTTGCAGCTAAGGTGCTGAGACGAAATGTTTGCCTTCTTTGGATAAACGCACGCCCTCAAATTGTGTAACTGTTGGAGGCTGAGGTCTTCATATATGTGGAGTGAAAGTCTTGGGCGAAACGGCCAGACCGCCCTACGCACACGCCTGGTGCTGCCACGAGGATGAGTTTTCTACGCGTGTATATACAGTTCAGACATGGGGTTGTTGGTAAGGAGAAAGGGGTGGTGAGAGATATGAGGATTGATGAGGGACGAGCGCGGAAGCAGGAGGAGGAGAAGGAGGAGGAGGAGCAGTATGCAGAATATGGGTACTGAGGTAATGAGGGTGGATAGGAGGGGAAAGCAGGATGAGGAGGAAGGAGGATGAGGAGGAGGGGGAGGGGGATGAGATGGGGGCGGAGGACGAGAAGGAGGAGGGGGCGGAGGAGGAGGAGGATGAGGAGGAGGCGGAGGACTGGGAGGAGGAGCAGGAACAGGAACAGGAACAGGAGGACGAGCAGCAGGAACAGGAAGAGGAGCACCAGGAGGAGCAGCACCAATTACACGTGGCAGGTAAGGAAGATATACCCCCAAGGTGGTACGATCGAAGACGAAGAGGGCGGGTATCGAGGGTCTGGGGAGTTGAAAGAACAGTCTTAAATTTGTTGTTGCTCTTGTTGTTGCTGCTGCTAATGTGCTTACTTCCCATTAATTGTGGTTTACCCCCCGTCCCCGATAGCCATGGTATTTTTCGATTGAAGTGCTTCTCCCGGGGCTCGTACCCGTTTTTTTTACAAGGGAAAGCGAGGTGCCACCTAACTGGAATGTTGGCCCCCCGGTTTACAACAACAGCGGCTCTTCACAATTTATACCCACATCGCGCTCTCGCGCAGGACTTCCTCACAATGTATGCAGAAATCGCGCCCTCGCGTGGCACTTTCTCGCAATTTATCCGTAAGGGCTTCGCCCCCTGCCGCCGGCCCCCTCTTTCGGAGAATGGGCCATGGAAGAGCTAAGTCATGAGGCTTTGGCGCTGTCGCGCAGCAGTATCGGAACTTCATGCGAGGCCGATTCGCAATCGGCAAAACCAACTGATCACAAGAGGGGTTACCACACAGGGCGATTGGTAAGACGTGTATGGTTTACGAGCTTGGTTACCACACCTTGGGATTAAAGGGCCGAGGGAGTACTCGCAGTTTGGGTTACCACGCCTTGCGATGGATGTGCGTGAGGGGTGGCACCGAATTTCAGAAATGTGGCAAATCCCCTGTGTTTTTGGACCCTGACCCCGCGGATCTGCGTGAGGGGTGGCACCGAATTTCAGAAATGTGGCAAATCCCATGTGTTTTTGGACCCTGACCCCGCGGATCTGCGTGAGGGGTGGCACCGAATTTCAGAAATGTGGCAAATCCCATGTGTTTTTGGACCCTGACCCCGCGGATCTGCGTGAGGGGTGGCACCGAATTTCAGAAATGTGCAAATCCCTTGTGTTTTTGGACCCTGACCCCGCGGATCTGCGTGAGGGGTGGCACCGAATTTCAGAAATGTGGCAAATCCCAGTGTTTTTGGACCCTGACACCGCGGATCTGCCTGAGGGGTGGCACCGAATTTCAGAAATGTGGCAAATCCCCTGTGTTTTTGGACCCTGACCCCGCGGATCTGCGTGAGGGGTGGCACCGAATTTCAGAAATGTGGCAAATCCCCTGTGTTTTGGACTCTGACCCCGCGGATCTGCGTGAGGGGTGGCACCGAATTTCAGAAATTTGGCAAATCCCATGTGTTTTTGGACTCTGACCCCGCGGATCTGCGTGAGGGGTGGCACCGAATTTCAGAAATGTGGCAAATCCAATGTGTTTTCGGACCCTGACCCCGCGGATCTGCGTGAGGGGTGGCACCGAATTTTGGAAATGTGGCAAATCCGCTGTGTTTTTGGACCCTGACCCCGCGGATCTGCGTGAGGGGTGTCGATTTCGAGCCCCCCCAGCAATTCAGACAACGCGCCCAGGGGGTGCTAAAAAACCTGTTTGGGCCTCCCCCCCCCTCGCGCGGTCAATCAACTAGTTACAGTAACCAGCAAGAAGCAGAACTGTAACACTGGAAACTACAAGCTACAACTGGTACTGGAAACTGCGAACCCGCGCCTACAGCCTGGTGGCCCCACAAGGGGGCCGGCGGATTCAGACGCCGCACACTTGACACTCATGAATCATGCTCTCGCTGTGGATTCCCTCACGATTTATTTGGGAGTCGCGCTTTCGCTCGAGACTTCCTCGCGATTCATGCAGGACGCTCGCCTCAGCATCCCGCCTGCTCGACCTGTCCTCCTGGGCCCGCCTTCCCGACTCGCCTGTTAGGGTCTACCCGCCCGATCTGCCCGTCTGGCTCTGCCACGTGTTCCCTGATCCTAGCCACCCTCCTGCTACTTTCTCTCGTGCTCCGTCCTCCTCCCTCCCCCTTGCCTCTTCCTTACATCCGTCCTCTCTTCCCCTGCTTCAAGGCTGCACGAATTAGACGCTGCAGGTTGGAAAGGTCACCCCCAAGAGGATACGATCGAAGACGAAGAGGCCGGGTGTCCAGGGTTCGGGATGTACGTGTTGAATGACACGCGAGACCAACCTTACAATGATTGTTGCTGTTGAATTGATGACGATGTTGTTGTTGTTGTTGCTGTTGTCGTCGTTATTGTTGCTGCTGCTGTTGCTGTTGCTGTTGTTGTTGTTGCTGTTGTTGCTGTTGCTGTTGCTGTTGTTGTTGCTGCTACTACTGTTGTTGCTGTTGTTGCTGTTGTTGTTGTTGTTGCTGCTGTTGTTGTTGTTGTTGCTGCTGCTACTGTTGTTGTTGGTGTTGTTGTTGGTGTTGTTGTAGTTGTCGTCGTCGTTGAACATTATTAATTCTAAAGAATAATTATTGTTGGGGCCCCTGGTGCACGGCCCCCCTGCGCCGCCTAGGCCGCAGCTACATTTTCATCATTTTCGTGAGGAAGCCTCAGGTAATTCGATGTGATCAAGATCCGGTTGTTTTGTTCCCCCCCGCTTTCCCTTGCAAAAAACATTATAAAATGACATTTCTTGTTCTAATATAATCAAATTTCAAGAATCCCTTGCAAAAAATAAGGTAAAGTGGACATTCGCGCGCGCAAGACGAAATCCTTCCAAAAGCTTAGTGTTCGGAACGATTTCAACATAAAAACATCAAAAAACTAATGGTTTTTCAACAAAAAAATGTCAAAATCTCATCCCGCGCGCTCTTGCGGATTCGTAGGAAACCCAACACTTTTTAAACATTTCTGTCAAACGGGCTTTTGCGAGCAACTTTTTCGAACTTCTGCGACAACGGTTGCGCACCTGCCAGGGCCATCATCCCTGTCAAATAATACCATGCGGGACACATTCGTTTTTTCTTCGCGCGCGCACGCCGAAATCTCCAAAAACCATTGGGCTTCTTAAGAATTTTAGCACCGCGCATCATAAAATCACACGAATCGCACCGTAGGTCCTCGAAAAACACCTGCACGACTTTTCAAAATTTCTACCCGCGCGCGCTGTCCTAACAACTTCTGTGGGTGTGTACTCCACGCCAGTGTAGTAGCCACGGTCGTCCGCAGGCCACGAAGTGAAGTGTCCGAACGTCATAGGGCGGGAAGCTGGGTGTGGGTGGTGGCGAAGAGTCGTGTGGATATTTGGTAGAGCTTGCACTGCCCCCCCACAAAGTGGGGGTATTGGCTGGCGTCGCATGAAAACCCTGGCACTGGTGAGAACACTGAGCGTTCGGGTAAAGTGATTGTTGTTGTTGTTGTTGTTGTTGTTGTTGTTGTTGTTGTTGCTGTTGCTGTTGCTGTTGCTGTTGCTGTTGTTGTTGCTGCTGCTGTTTTGTTGTTTAAGTGCTTGTTGCTTGTTGTCGTCGCCCCACCCGCGACCCAGCCCGCGACCCACGGTCGGCCTCCCGTGTCCCTCGCTCCCTCGTCGCCCCGGGCGGCACCGACGGAGCCCGGGGAGGCGCCGGGGGCCAGGAGGCCCCGTGGCCCGCTGCCCCGGCCCGCCGCGGTCAGCGCCTGCGCGCGCGGCCAGCGGCTGCTGCAGGCCCTGGAGCTCCAGCGGGCCAAGGAGGCGCTGACCGCGCCCGGAGGCCCTGCGCAGCTCCAGCGGGCCGAGGGGCCGCTGAGCGCGCCCGCGGGCCCCGCGCGCGCCGTGCCCCCGCCTCCGCCCTCCCCGCCTCCGCCCTCCCCGCCTCCGCCGCCGCCTCCGCCTCGCTCCCTCGCCCCCCCCCCCCCCCCTCTCTGGATTCCTCCCGCCCCCCATCGTCCTCCTCATCCTCCCTGCCTCCCTCCGTGCCCTCCTCCGTCCTCCCTCCTCGTCTTCGCTTCGCTTCGCTCCGTGGGAACGCCAGTCAATGCCTGAAGCGCCCCAAACAATACCGCGGGCCGCCACCGCGCGGGCCCGCTCACACCTTGGAGGTGGGTGGAGAACCCTCCCCGGTCACGACTCCCAGAGGGGGAGGCCCCAGCCGGGGAGGCTGAGGGGGGCCCACAAGAGACCTGCGCAACCAAAGAGAGGCACGGCGCAGCCGGTCCCCTGGACAAGACTCCCAGGCGAGGGACCCCCGGCCGGGAAGGCTGGGTTGCTCGTCTGGAGACCTGCTCGTCCAGGGGAAGGGGCGGAATGCAGTTCCCCCAGGGCCCCGGTGCACCGCCAGACACCGAGGCACCCCTCCGGGGGCTCCTCCCTCCTCGTCCCTCCCCCCCCCTCCCCCCCTCCCTCCCGCGCCCCTCCGCGCCTGCCCTCCCCCCTCCCGCCCTTCCTCCGCCCCCCCCCCCGCCCGCGCCGCCGGGCGCCCCCCTCCCCCCCCCGCCCGCTCGGAGCTGGGGATGCGCCCCCGCCTCTCTGCAGGGCACTGCTGGGGAGCAAACGGACGGGGCGGCCCTCCCCCCCGCGCGCGCCGCGCAGCGCCTCCGCCCTGCGCCGCTGCCGCCGCCTGGCGGCCGCCTCTCACGCCTGTGGGGGGGGGCATTCGGATGGTTCCCGGTTTTGCTCTCCCTTCCTCCTCCTCCTCCTCCTCCCTCCTCCTCCTCCTCCTCCTCCTCCTCCTCCTCCTTCCTCCTCCCTCCTCCTCCACCTCCTCCCCTTCTCCTCCTCCTCGTCGTTCTCCTCCTCCTCCTCCTCCTCCTCCTCCTCCTCCTCGTCCTCCTCTTCCTCCTCCTCCTCCTCCTCCTCCTCCTTCTGGTCGCCTCTGGATGTTTCCTCCGGGTGTGCGCTGATTCTTTTCTTTCGGAGAGGGCCTGCGCGCCCAGGAATCTCTTCTGCTCCCTTTATCCGGGGCAGGGCCAGGGCCCAGGGCTTTCTGTTCGATGGTTCCCCCCCCCCAGCCTCGACTTGCGCAGGGCCGGTGCATGTAGTTTGCGATCGATATCGAGGTCGCGTAGGGCCGGCGAATTAGCAAGTTGATAATGTCCCCAGCGAAACGCTGGTTTTTGAGATTCCGATCGTTCAGACACAGGGTAAAGTAAGCGTTTTCGTTTGTTGCGGATGTCTCGAGCGAAACGACTGTTTTGTATCATGCGTTGAGGATGTCTCGAGCGAGACGTTTGTTCTCATATAGATCTTTCCTCTCCAGCGGATCAGAATTCAGAGGATGTCTCAGGTGAAATGCTTGTTTTCACGTGCCCAGGTCTTGAGGATGTCTCGACCGAGACGCTTGGTTTCACGCCTCCAGGTTGCCCAGGCAGATGTCTCGCATTAGGATTTGTTGAGGATGTCCCGAAAGAGACGCTTGTTTTCACGTGTCCAGGTCGCCCAGGCGGATGTCTAGCATGAGGATGTGTTGAGGATGTCTCGAGCGAACCACTTGTTTTCACGTGTCCAGGTCGCCCAGGCGGATGTCTAGCATGAGGATGTGTTGAGGATGTGTTGAGCAAAACGCTTGTTTTCACGTGTCCAGGTCGCTCAGGCGGACGTCTAGCATGAGGATGTGTTGAGACAGTCTCGAGCGAAACGCTGGTTTTCACAAGCCCAGGTCGCCCAGGCGGATGTCTAACGTGAAGATGTGTTGAGGATGTCTCGAGCGAGACGCTTAGTTTCACATGTTCAGGTCGCCCAGGCGGATGTCCAACATGAGCATGTGTTGAGGCTGTCTCGAGAGAGACGCTTGTGTTAACGTGTCCACGTCGCCCAGGCGGATGTTTAGCATGAGGGTGTGCTGAGGATGTGTTTAGCGAAACCCTTGTTCCCGGAAAGGGCTCTGGCCCAGGGTTCTCTTTCAGTCGGTTTCACTCTGGGATCGACTTGAGGTGGGCCGCCGAATGTTCTGTGCGATCAATAACGAGGAAAGGGTGGGCTGGCGAATTAATCTATTGAGGATGTCCCTAGCGAAGCGCTTGTTTTAAAAACATATGCTGAGGATGTCTCAGACGAAATGCTGTTTTTTGTCACGGATTGTCCTTTCCTGGTGACCAGAATTCAGGGAATCTCTCAGGTGAAATGCTTATTTTCACGTGCCCAGGTCTTGAGGATGTGTTGAGCGAAACGCTTGGTTTCACGCGTCAAGGTCGCCCATGCGGATGTCTAGCGTGAGGATTTGTTGAGGATGTCTCGAGTGAGACGCTTGTTTGCACGTGTCCAGGTCGCCCAGGCGGATGTCTGACATGAAGATATGTTGAGGATGCCTCGAGCGAGACGCTTGTGTTCACGCGTCCAGGTCGCCCAGGCGGATGTCTGGCATGAGGAGGTGTTGAGAACGTCTCGAGCGAAACGCTCGTTTCCACGTGCCCAGGTCGCCCAGGCGGACGTCTAAAATGAAGATGTGTTGAGGATGTCTCGAGCGAACCACTTGTTTTCACGTGTCCAGGTCGCCCAGGCGGATGTCTAGCATGAGGATGTGTTGAGAATGTGTTGAGCAAAACGCTTGTTTTCACGTGTCCAGGTCGCCGAGACGGATATCTAGCATGAGGATTTGGGCAGGATGCCTCGAGCGAAATGCTTGTCCCCAGGACGTTCCGTAGCGCGTCCCCTTTGCACGTCCCGCGGTGCGTCGCCATGGCACGTCCCCTGGCAAGTCGCCTGGCGCGTCCCTTGGGACGTTCCGCGGCGCGTCCTCCTGGCATGTCCCCCTGTCAATTAGCTCCGGGGCAGCTACTATGTGCTCAGACAGCTCGAGCTTAAGATCCAGATCAGGTCGGTCAGGACTCGGATGCAAAAAGGGGGACTCGATCCACAACGCTATAGAGCGCAATCACGGCATGGCACATCGCAATTCAGCACGGCGCAGCACAGCACAGCCCTCGGCACGGTACATCAAGGTCGATACACTCAGCCTTGCAATTTGGCACGTTCCGTGGAGCGTCCCATGGCGAGTCCCCCTGGCACGTCGCGCGGCGCGTCCCTTGGCACGTCTTGTGGCACGTCAATTGGCACGTTCCCTGTGGGGGCCTGTTGCCCGTACCTCTGGTGACTCGAGGTCGAAGATCCAGTTCGATATCCGTAGCCTCTGGCTCAAGCCAGCTTGGCCGAAGCCACATGGATCGCGCGAGCACACCCCGAACTTTGATGATCATACTCTGGATCTCAGCATGGACGCGCCATTCCTACCCGAGCCCAGGCGTGCACATTCCGCCCAGCTTCTTGGAAGCTTTGATGCGCTGCTCTGCCAGAACGGTCACGAGGTGACGAAGCATAAGCAAGGACAGCGTTGGCACCAGGGCTGGACTGCCAGCAGGAACTGCGACTTGTGCAAAAAGAAGCTGACCAGGAGCCACGGCTGCTGGCGGTGCGAGCACCACTGTACTTTCAACGTCTGCGAAGACTGCTACGACAGCCGGCCCGAGAAGGAGCTGGCCACGGAGGCGCTGTGGCTGGCCACGACGGCCAGGGATCTGGCCGCCATCGACGTGGCCATAGAGCAGGCGGCGGCCCTGGGCGTCTCCGAAGGCGCCGGCGCGATGGCAGCGGCCAAGAAGGCCAGGCGCCGCCTGCTGCAGAGGCAGCTCGTGGAGGCGGAGAGGTCGGGAACCCTCGAGGAGCAAGGGCGCCCTCGAGGGCGCGAAGTGATTCGCGCTTCGCGCTCCGCCGTTCGGCCCCGATGCCTCCTCCTCCCCCCCTTCTCCCCCCTGGGAGGCGGCGCGAGCGCGCGAAAGTTGTTCGCACTTCGCGCCTCGCGCCGCGCGAAGAGCGCGAGGTTGGGAGCCCTCAGAGGAGCTGCGCCGCCTGCTGGAGGCCGTGCGGGAGGCGGACGTCGGCGGCTGGCGGGAGGAGGTGCAGAGGGCCAGGGCCAGGCTCGAGAGGCTGGAGATGCTCGAGGGGCAGCGCCGGGCGAGGGAGGCCCTGCGCGCGGCCGCGGCGGCGCCGGCCGCGGCGGGCCCGGCGCGCGGCGAGTGCGGCGACGGCGTGCGGGCGATCGGCGCCGCGCTGGAGCTCGCCCGGGCGGCGTCGCTGCGGTGGGGGGACCCCGCGGTCCTCGCGGCGCTGGCCCACCGCCACCGTCTGGCAGAGCGCTGGCTGCGGCTGGTCGTCGAGCAGCACGGCGGCGAGGAGGAGCTGGACGCGGCTCTGCTCGTGGCGAGGGCCGTGGGCCTGGAGGACGGCTGCGACGGCATGCTCCTGGCCGTCGAGGGCAAGAGGCACTTTGCGAGGGAGGCGCTGCGAGCCGCGGTGGCCTCCGCCGAGGTCGCGAGCATCGACGCGGCCCTGGCGGATGCGCAGGCGGCGGGCCTCGGGGACGAGTGCGCGGAGGTGCGGCAGGCGAGGGAGGCGAAGCGGGAGAGGGCCAGGGCCGCGCTCCTCGCCGCGGCGCGGCTGCCCGTCGACTTGGCGGCCGCTCGGCTGCCGGTGGGGCCGCACTTCTGGGCCTCGGTCGACCAGGCTCTGGCGATGGCGAGGGCGGAGGGTCTGGAGGACAGCTGCCCCGAAGTGGCCGAGGCGAGGGCCGCCAGGGCGAGGGTGGCGCGGCGTGCGCTGGAAGGGGCCATCGAGTCCGAGGTCTTCGGGGAGCTCGAGGACGCGCTGAAGGGGGCAGCCGCGGCGGGGCTCGACGACGCCTGCGAGCAGGTCCAGGCAGCGAGGGCCAAGAAGGCGCGGGCCCTCGTATTCCACTTGGAGCCCGTCCAGCGGTTCGGGGGCAGCGAGGATCACTCGACCCCAAGTGCCTCCACCACGAGACTGACGCAGGCCTTCACCGTGATGGTCTGGGTCAACCCGTCGCAGCGGACGGCAGACTGGGCCCGGGTCATCG